GCCCCTCCGCGGCCCCAGGCGAGCGCCCTCCGTCGAAGGTCTAGGGGTTGGGGCGGGGAGCCGGGGGAGGGCAGCGTGGCCTTGGCCTCCGCGCGTCGTCCGCCCAGCGCGGCCGGACACCGGTCGTCTCCGCCGGGGGGCCTTCGGGGTATGAGGCCTGGCCGGGTCCCTGTGAAGGGCAGAACCAGCCCTTACCCTCAGGGAGCTTCCAGTCGAGGGGAGAGACAGATGGTAGAATAGTCACAACACACGAAACAGTTATGGAAAGGTGCAGCCAGCAAGCGAGGAGAGTGGTGACAGAAGGTCCCCTGTTTATCTCTGGACGGACGGTCAAACCGAGAAAACGTTCTCTTTGGTTTTCTCCTGTATCACAGACCTAAGTTTGGTATTTCATAGAGTCAACTACGCCGTGGAGCGTGCCGCTTGATTTCTTTAAAATGTTTGCAGATGTTTCTGACTAGCCGTTTCGTCAGCTTTTGAGGAGTGGTGATTGGGCTAGTAATAGTCTTTAGAATCCTTTACATTTCTGAGGCTTTTTTAGCTAGGACTTGGAAGCGTCTTGTCATACTGGCCTCGTTTGTGATGAGTTTGTTCGTAATGTTTGCTTATGTTCGCAAAATGCATTTTATCCTGAGAATTTCGTTATCAACAGAAATACGCAGTTTTATTAAAGTGCTATTTTTCCTATAGACTTTATAATGTGCAGTTTTCTCAGTGTCCCGATTATCATCAGTATTGTAGCCCTAAAATCAAATAGGTGTGTTATTTGCAGTTATCTTTAAGATTCGGCTTCGTTTGTGATACATCTATGTAGTACTACTGTATCACCAGTAGGTGGTAGTCCTTTCAGAATTTTTTTTTTCCACATGTCATCCCATTTATTTATACTAATGAATTTTCAACTCTAAAGTAGGTTGTTTCCTTGTGCCTGAATTGTTCTGGTCCTAAAGCTGGCTTGAAGTAATTGTCTAAAAATATTTCTGTAACCATTATTTCTATCAGTTTTAAGTAGATAAAGCCAACTAAACATATTGGTTTATTCGGCAGCAATGAATGTTAAGTATTGGTGTTACATCGGGGACAGGATGTGGTCTTTGACTCCCTGGAGCATGCATTCTGGTAGGGAGACAGAAAACAGGTTATTACGGTACTGTGATAAGTGCGGTAAAAGGATGGGAACATGTGCTGTGGGGACATAGCCAAAGCTTCTAGACCGGTCTAAGGGAGTCCCTGAAAGTTTGCCTAGAAGAATAACTCAGAGGAATGGGCTGCATGAAAAGGAGTAGTGTTTCTGGCAGAGGGAATAGCATATGTGAAAGCCTGAAGATGAGAGAAAGCAAAGGAGGCACATTTTAAGATCTGGAAGAAATTCAGTATGACTAATAGGAGCAATTTTTAAGGGAGATCATGAGTTCAGTTGTGGAATGTTGAGCAAGAGCCCTCTTGCCCTCAAACTTATCACAGTTCAGCATCATCTACAAGTGAGGAAACTAAGCTCTCTTCATTCATCAGATGAGAATACTATACTGTGTTTGTTGATGTTTACTATTTATTGCATACGTGAGGGCACAGAGCATACATTGACAAGATACAGGCCCTGTTCTTAAGCTCCTTAAGACTGGGGGAAATAGACTTGCCAATAAATGCAGTTCAGAATGTTAAGAAACCTTATTAGAAATATCTTTAAGGCACAATGGAAGAAGCATTAAGGGAGGAAGGACCTAGAGCAGCCGGGAAAGACCTAGAACAGAATGTAATGTTTGGGGTAAAAGTTGAAAATTAGGAGTTTGTCAGGTGAACACGTTGGGGATGTGAGGGTTTTGCTGGAAGAGGGAATAAAAGAACATGGATTTTAGATTTAAATCTTCTGGCTTCAGATTGTGCATTCACATCTTATTGTGAGATCCACAGAAATGGCGGTTTCTTTGAAGCTCAATTTACCCAGCTCTCATATAGGGAATCCAGCAGATGATACATAAAAAAAAGTTCTTAGCAAGCTTGTTTGAAAGTGCCATGCCTTTACTTACATTCTCCATATGTCAGAAAGATCACCTGCTGTGATTTCTTGGCTCCCCAAATTCATTCCTATTGATACTTCTGAAACTGTTTCACTGCCCACTTGTGATTCTGCCCAACATGAGATTGTTTCCTGTTCAGCTTCCAGCTGCTGCCTGTAGCTTACTTTATTTTTACAGAAAGTGCATTTGTACACATAAAATTCTGTGTTGAGCAAGTTTTTAACAGATTGTTAATCTTAACCTTAATTTTAGGAATAATAGCTTTAAAAAGTGAACAAATAAAGGTTATTCTCTGATAACATCACTAAAAAATGCAGAGTGTGTGTGTTGTTTATAATGAGATGAAACTGTAAGACTGCTTTCATTTCGGGAAAAAAGAGGTGATTAGTTGATGTCTCTTAAAAAAAACATAGAAAATGGGTTATCTTCTTTTCCATTGGAAATATGGTTGTAATAATTGTCCAAAATGTTATTTGCTGACTGTAGTGGCTTTTACTAGGAAATGTGTGTTGTTTTGTTGATCATGTTAGTTTCCATTAGATATAGGATTTCTTAATAATATTGTTAATAAGAAAATCAGTGAGTCACAGTGAAACAGAAAAGTATCATTTTCAGTAATTTAACAAGGTTTAAAAAAACCTTTATAGTTTCTTTCAATGCTTTAGCACTACATCTTCCCCCCCCCCCTTCTCTGGTCTATATTATGTCTTCTGAAATGGAGTGATTAAAAAGTCATTTTCAGTAGAGAGAGTATGTAGAAAGTATGTAATTCCATCTTTGATGCTGTCTCTATGTTTAGGCTGTGGGATTATAGTTCTGTTTGTGTAGATTAGAGATCACTGCAGTCTTCCTAAAGAAGGGACTGTATATAGCTTAAAAGCAGTTGAAGAAACAACAAAGGAAACACTGGATGGAATTGTCAAAATTTTAAGTTTTATTATTATAGTTGTCATATTGGAAAACTGTATCAAAATGATAGAAATAAAATTTATATGAAGAAATAATATAGGCTAATAAGGAAAACACTAAGTTCCGGTAGATAGATGGACAAATAATATGAACAGCTTACACAACTAATGGAAAATTAAAGAAATATAAAGCAATGTACCATTTTTCACCTATTATGTTTGTAATGACTTAAAAATCCCATTGTTTTCTCTCATGCTTCTAATGGACTAACTCTTTCAGGAAACCTTAAATATTCATACTCCTTAATTAAGTAATTCTCCTTTTTGGAATATATTCTATGGAAAAAATTTTAATTATAGAAAAATCTTTGTATACTAAATATATTAATCTCTTGTTTTGTTTGGTAATACACAAATTTATGTTCATATTATGTAGCATTTAAATATATTTCTATTTAAAATCTAGAAAATATTTGTGATAAATGAAAGCAGGATACAAAATCGTACATACCCAGCTTACATGTCCTGCAGTTGATTATCTACATTATCTAGATCTTTAGAACCTCCATAGGTGTGGATTGATTGGTTGATTGATTGACTTATTTACTAATTTATTCAATCCTTGCTCAGTACATTCTTCATGTTAAACTATATATGCAGTTAGAAACTGTTCCCTAGACTGTAGAAAAGAATGCTTGTGTCACTGGACAAAAGACTATCACACTTCTTTTTTTTTTATTTTTTAAAATTTTTATATTTTTATTGAAGTAGTCAGTTTACAATGTGTCCATTTCTGGTGTACAGGATAATGTTTCAGTCATCCATATACATACATATATTTTCATATTCTTTTTCACCACAACTTACAGGATATTGAATATATAGTTCCCTGTGTTATACAGTATGTTGTTTATCGGATTTTGTGAGAATTCTTCTGTATTTCAAAGCGAGAGACACTCTGCCAGAGTTCAGTAGGTGTTCTGTGCGATTCAGTTGGTTTGTAGATGTAATTCCTGGTGTATTTGTGGGAGAGGGTGAGTTGTGAGCCCCTCTACTCTGCCATCTTGGTCTATCATACTTCTTGAGTGGGATAACATTTGAAAATTTAGTCGCAGTAATTTATATGCATATACCATTTTTTAAATTTAAATGTGTTCATGTGGATCAAAATTCAAGAAATTCAAAGAAAGATGCAAGGAAAAGCCTCTTTTCTGTCTCTGAACCATAGCTACCAATTCTCTTCCATAAAGGCAACCAAGTTATCAATTTTTAATGCAATTCTAGAGTACACTATCTATACCCTTTAGCACTTTTTATTTGCCATTTTTAAAGATCTTATCATTAGGTCACTACACACCCAGAGCAGAGTTGTAGGAACTTACTGAGTCTGGATAAATTGAGCTCAACCTGCAAAAGCTTTGTCTTGTTCCATTGAAAAAGTATGCATGTTAAGAAAAGAAGTATCTTAAGATTTCTTGAAAATGAAGTTAGAAAGCATCTTTTAACTGACTTTTTTTCCTTTACAGTTGATTATGGAAGATTCTCACAAGAGTAACACTTCAGAAACAGCACCTCAGTCTGGTTCAACAGTTCAGGGAGCTCATATTTCTCATATTGCTCAACAGGTAAGGAACCAGTTAAGAATATTTGTTACATGGATTAATTGTTGTTTCACATCTCTAATTACTAATGTTCAAAAAAAGAACCAAGCAAAAAAACCTGTAAAATGTAGAAATGTATGGAAGGAAGAAATACTTTAAGTATCTTGTCAAGGTCATTCAGTTCTGTTTTCTTTTATACAGAGTATATTTAGCATTTTAATATGTATACACTTCCCAAAACTTGGAGAGGTAGATTTCATTTTATGTGGTGCATGATTATTTAGATTTTTTTTCTAAGATTAATTTTGTTGCTGCATAAGAAAAATGAAAAATTATTTGGCTCTTTGGGCTAACTGGAAATAGAGACTAAGTAAGTTTAGGAGGTAAACCATCTTTAATTCAGTAGATGTATTGTGGATATGTAGGAAATATTTTTGTTGAACTGGAAAATCAGTATATTCATTAGAGAATTTGAATGACAGACATGCATATTGCAAACCTGATGATATTTTTTTTTCTGATGATATTTTTAAAATTTCAAATTTTCTGATCTATGCACCTGACCCAGTTCAGGGAAAACAACTGACAGAATTTGTAGCCAGTGATAAGATTTGAACTTACAAGCAAAAATTAGAATTTTGGAAAACTTGTATTCACCATCGTGAACTTGACAGCTTCCCAGTAGTTACTGACTTTCTACTTATAAAATTGTATTACAAAATCATGCATGTTATAAGATCCATTCAGAGTGCAAGACAGACCAATTGGATTTTAATATTAACAGAATACACAAAATTCAGATTGTATATTGCAAACAACGTTTAAGAAACTACAACCTGTCGAGTTTTGATGTGGCTTCAAAGAAGAATGTACACAATTACCTTTAAAACACTCCTCCCTTTTCTGACTACATATCTGTGAGACCAGACTTTCTTCGTATATCTCAACCAAAACAACATACGGCAAATAGTTAACGTAGAAACAGATAAGAGAAATTCAGCCATTTTCTTTTCTTTTTTTTTTTAATTGGAGGTACTGGGGATTGAACCCAGGACCTCTTGCATGCTCAGCCTGCGCTCTATCACTGAGCTATCCCCTCCCCCAGCCATTTTCTGTTAACTCAGACATTAAGGAGATTTGTATAAATGTAAAACAGTGTCATTTCTGTCACTAACTTTTTGGGGGATATTTAATTATATTAATGAACATATATTATTTATGTGTACATTATAACATGTAATGGATTTATGACCATTATTTTAAAATGAACTGTTAAATATTTTTTAAATTTCTTTTTAAATTTTAAATGTAAGTATTAGTAGATAAAAACCCCACATAAATACAAGTTCTTTGGGGTCTTTAATAATTTTTAAGAGTATAGAAGGGTCTTGAGACCACAAAGTTTGAGAACCTAAAGATTTAAAGGATTAGTCCTTCAAGCTTGATGCATCCTTCTATATTATTTGGCTTTATCTGTGAAGAATAATGGTGTCTTCTCCAGATGGTGTTGGAAAAACAATGACAGAGGTTTTTAGTTACCTTTCTGCTAGTAGAGCCCTTCAGAGAAATGTTTTAATTCAGTTGGCTTGCTTACACATTTTAGTTACTTTGGTTAGATGTGAATGTTTTCCATGTTTCCTCAGAAGCATATTGATAGTGATAGAATAAGTACATTTCTAGGTGGTAAATAATTTTACAGTGATTTTTTAAAAAATAATTTCACTAACTTTGTATCCAAATTCTTCTGGCTTGACTACTTTATTAGACTCTAAATTCTGTAAGGAAACAGTCTCTAATACAGTAATATTTATTCAGTCATTCAGTGTAAGTTGGGGATATAGCAGTGAACAAAAGTCTAATCTCTCGTGGAATTTATTCTAGTTTTGGGGAGAATAAAACAGACATCAGTTGGTAATAAGTTCTGTGGAGGCTAATAAAGCCAGGTAGGAGGGATAGGGAATTCTTGTTGGGGACAGGGACTTGCTTTTTTATATAAGGTGATCAGAGAAGTCCTAACTGTGGGAATACCTCTACAATTATATGGACCAGCAATTATAAACTCTCTTGAGACTGATATGTGCTTGGCATGGATAAGGAACAGCAGGGCAGCCAGTGTGGTGGAAGAGGGACACAAGATGAAGCAGAGAGGTTTGGGGTTAGAGGGTAAGAGTGCCAGATAATGTGGGCCTTGTATGCCACTAGAAGATTTCTGGCTTTTAATCTCGGTGAGATGAGGAGCCTTTTGAGTGGTCTGAGTAAAAACATTATCTGACTGATATTTTAATAGGATCACTCTAGCTGCTTTGGAGTGGAAGCAGAAAAATCAGTTAGGAGGCTGTTACACTAATTGTGCGTGAAAGACATTTAGTGGCTTGGACCAAGGTGGTAGCAGTGGTAGTGGTGAGATAAAGTTAGATTCTGGATATAATTTGGTTGTGAGGCCAACAGCGTTTGCTTTTGGATTGGATGTGAGTTTAGAGAAAAAAAGATTGACTTTATAATTTTTAACTTCAATAACTGTAAGAAAGAATGGAGTTGCCATTTATTGAGATGGACAATGCTGAAACATTGTTTCTTCTTCTTTGTTTTCTTTTTGGGGAAATGTTGGCAATCAGGAATTTGGTTTTTGGGCATGTAAGGTTTGTGATACTATCTGTGTTAGTTTTCTGTGCTGCAAAACAAAGTACCACAAATTTAGTGGCTTAAAACAACACACATTTATTATCTCACAATTTCTGTAGGGTCAGGCACTTCTTAGTTGGGTTCTCTGCTTCACAGTTTCACCTAGCTGCAATTAAGATATTGGCTAGGGCTGGCTTCTTATCTGGAGACTAGAATGGACAATTCACTTCTAAGCTTACTCAGGTTGTTGGCAGAATTCACTGTTACAGCTGTAGGACTGAGAACTCTTTAATTTTTTGTTGGCTGTGGGCCACCCTCAGCCATTAGAAATTGACTGCAATTTGCTGCCACATGGCCCTCTCCATAAGCAGTTCACAGCATGGCAGCCTGCTTCTTTAAACTCAGCAAGAGAGTGAGAGTGTGCTGGCAAGACGGAGTCTTACATAATATAACATAATCAAGGGAATGATATCCTGTTCCTATGCTATAAAATGTGACTTAATCATAGGAATGATGCCCCATCATCTTTGCCTTATTCTGTTGGTTAGAAGCAAGCCGCAGGTCCCTCCCACACTCAAGGGGGAGAAAATTACATAAAGACATAAACACTAGAAGGTGGGGACCATGGGGGCCACCCTAGAATTTTTAAGGCAAACCATACAAGTAGATCTGTCCAGCAGGTAGCTGGATATATATCGTCTGGAATCCAGGGGAGTGGTCTAGACTAGAAATGTAAATTTAAGAGTTCTCAATATACTTAAACTCATAGGGTGATTCTGGCTTCCATTTAGGCTATAGAAAGCTGGAAAGAGTATTGCTCCCACTGTAAAACAAGAATAAGCTTAGATACACAAAATCATTATGTCTCTCAACGCATTAAAAGTGGGATGTGGACATGGCCTACCTGTAGCAGAGCACAGGAAAAAGGCAGAGCTGTCAAAAGGGGGAAAGAATTTAGCTAAATTTTCAATGAGTTGCTAAAGTCTGAGTGTTGGTTAGCATGAGCATATAGAACCTTTGGGAGCTGCATCACAAGGGTAACACCCACCTGCAGCCTTTTCTCCAAGGACCTCTAAGAGCTGCTCGTGAGAAAGATTAGAGGAGGCAAGGGAGACCAGAGAAAGCCCCTCTAGGTGGTACAGCCTTGCCTGGACCCTTTTTCCGTGTGGAAGAGATCTTTAAGCCACTAGAGGAAGGGAATAAACCCCATATTCCATTGTGGGTGGGAGAAGTGGAAAGAAAAAACCCATAAACTCTAAAGGGAAGGACAGAAAACTTTTCTGGGTCCAGATCATTAGTTTTCCTACTATGGGGAGAGAGCCCTACCCTCTAAGACTAAGACTAGCAGGATGACAGAGAACCTCTGTGACACCTCCCTACCACCCCAAGCAAATGAAGTAATAGCAGTCTATCCCTGGGAAAGAGGAGGGGTAAGAGTATGGAGAGACACTCTGGGCCAGATGCACATAGAAAGCCTAAGGCTGAGGGTGGAGCAAGAACATTGGGAAAAACCGCTTGACAAAACAGCTCCCACCTTAAGCAGAAGGTCACACTACAGGAATTTGAAGCTGGTAGTGTACTTAATGTAATCATAACAAAACCCAAACCCTGCTCAGTTCCTGAATGGATTGGCTCAATTCTTCCTCCCCCACCCTCCCTAAAAGCCTAGTAGAAGAAGAGTGCCCACTTTTAGGCATGAATACTGTTTCCTCAGTCTCTGCTGTCTTACGCATGATGTCCATCATTCAGGCAAAAATTACGAAGCACGTACAAAAAAGCAAGAAGAAAACCTGCTGTCAAAAATATAAATAATCAGTAGACTCAAGATGACTCAGAACTGTCAGTGAATTTAAAACAATATTATATTAAAGGCTGTAGAGGAAAAGGTGGACAACGTGTATGAGCAGGAGGTGAATTTCAGCAGAGGAATAGAAACTGTATGAGAGAGTCAGATGGAAGTGCTAGAAATAAAAATTGTGACATAGATGAATGAAGTATGTTTGGGGCTTATTAGACTTGATACAGCCAAGGAGAAAGAACTGGTGAACTTGAAGATAGGCCAACAGAAATCCAAACTGAAAACAAAGAGAAAAAAGTGGGAAGAAAAACAGAACAGAGCATCCAAGAGCTGTGGAACAATATCTAAATATTTAACATTAAGTGTAATTAAAGTTATGGGACTAGATGAGATTACTGGGGTGTGAGTGTAGTCAGAGACGAGGTCAATGGATTTGACTCTGGGGCTTTCCAACATTTAGAGTTTGGGGAGGCTGAAGAGGGATGGCCAGTGAGGTAAAAAGAAAATCAAGAGAAATTGGGATCTTGGAAATTAAGAATGAGGTGACAGTCGACTGTGTAAAATGCTGCTGGTAGGTAAAGTGAGGAATAACAATAACTATCAT